CAACAGAAATCACTGAAATTATTGAACATTAGTAACATAGAAAGTTTTTAAAGTACGCCTGAAGAATACTCATAAATGTACTGTTTTGGCCCCAAATGATGCCTTGCTGATGCATCGTGTCCATTCAAGCCCCCTGACCTTTCCTCAGGCTCTCTTTTCCTGGATTTTTCTTCCTCCCACAACCCAATTTGTCCTCATGGGAAATTCCAACTCATCTCACTGGGAAGCATTCCCTGAAACTGTCTTCTCCCACACAAGGAGCAATTTTGATGTCTGTTTGTAATGCTAGTACTTGGAACAGTGCACATGGAATATGTTCAAATAGACGGATTTTGAAAAATACTTAGAGCCTAGAAAGTGTCCAATAAATAGTTGTTGAATGAATGAATAACAACTGAAGGATAAGACTAAATTCTCAATTTTCTGTCTTTTAATGCTGCTCTGTGGTGCATACACAAATTAGGAAATAACTGGAAAAGAGTGAAAAGAAAGAGACCTTGGACAACATGAGCTTAATTGTCATCTTCAGATCCAAGGTCATATTGGATCATCTGAAGATCCAAGATTGGTCATTCTAAGATCCAGGATCCAATACGACCTTTGATCTTAAGATGACAATTAAGCCCCATATAATGGGGAGCTCTCCTCTTCCTCAGTGCAGGCAGGATCAGTCCGTATTTCAAAGATCCTGAGCTACCTACAACTACTTATTCAAGTCCTTAAACTACATTTCCAAACATTAAACCTAAGTTATCTTTTTTTTTTTTTTTTGAGATGGAGTCTCATCCTGTTGCCCAGGCTACGCTGTAGCAAATTTTAAAGCCTGCAGTAACCACACTAAAATGAATACAAGGGGGTCTCTAACCTTTTAGCTAATTTCTCCAAGTTAGTCTGGCTCCTACTGTTAATATATGGTGAATATATGCCCTCATATCTTGGTGACAGCAGCATTTAAGCCTCAGTAGGTATGATAAGAAGTATAGTGTACACGAGTCGAGTGGAAAGATTAAAGAGAGAATATACTTCATATGTGTCCTCAGTAAGGCCTGATTTTATTCTTAAATTGAGAAAAAAAAAAGAAAAAATTCCCGCTTCCAAGACAGAACCGTATTCTACACAATCATTGAAAAGTAGTTTTTAATTACACCAACTAGGTCTGAATCTTGTTATCTTGTGCCCTGCTAAAGAGCTACTTTCTGCAGGCAGCTCAAGACTTTACAGAAACCGTCATTCATTCTTAGGATGTGATTGCTAGGTCATTCTCTGCTTAAATACCAGGATATTCTCTCACTTCTAGGAAAGAAATGGCCCCCCTGAGAGGTTTGACCTGATAATGATGACACATTATACTAACAATACAAATTATAGCAAACCTTTATCTGTAGTCAAATCAGTTAAAAATGATTCCCTTAACAGGTGCTGTAGTAAAATTTTGTTCTCATATAGCAATTATTTGAGAGTCTCAAATAACTTCATAAAAATAAGTGCTATCACCTGCTCACTTCCAATAGGTTGACTGTAGTTGAAAGTTCATTTCAGTGTTAAGAGTTAATATCTTCTCCTCCCCCAACACGTTGGCTGGCTCTACACCTTTTACTGATGCCAGTAATGACATTGAATCATGCCAAGCTGTACTATGCCCTTCATGCCTTCTTATCAGAATGTTATAAATGAGCATTACATTTTCCAAAGCTTTGCGGTTTGTTGTGTTGGATTGCCTCGCTGGCATGACTCAGAACAGAAACTAAGTTCAGCTTGCTTCTTGATAGTGTAAA